GAGTTAGATATTGTATCTTCTGTCTAATATAGTTACTGGGAAATATCTGACAATGAATAAAGGGTTACAGATATTTTTTTATTCTGTCTAGTATAGTTACTGTGACATATCTGACAATGAAGAAAGGGTTACAGATATTGTTTCTTCTATCTAGTATAGTAACTGGGAAATATCTGACAATGAAGAAAGAGTTAGATATTGTATCTTCTGTCTAATATTGTTACTTACAATGAAGAAAGAGTTAGATATTGTATCTTCTGTCTAATATTGTTACTTACAATGAAGGAAGAGTTAGATATTGTATCTTCAGTCTAATATAGTTACCTACAATGAAGAAAGAGTTACAGATATTGTATCTTCAGTCTAATTATAGTTACTGACAATAAATAAAGAGTTACAGATATTGGAACAATTCTTTTAAATCTTATAATTAGAAATGTAAGAAAAGTATATATAATTAGCTATACTGATGGCCAGATCGATTTTTAATTTGGTTTAACACATATATTACTCTGATCGTAAGTTATTATTTTATATATATGTCTAACAACTTGATCCGTGAGAAGATAAATATTATATGCCCAATGAACTAAAATTATGAGCCACATCAGTATTAATCAAAATTCCCTTATGTCTTAGTTTGGACTACACAAAAGGTATACATTCTTTATTCGAATGGTTTGAAACTCATAAGAGATCATACTACTCAAAGGGACATACTATGACTCATGACATTTTTTATTTGAATTGTTTGATATTCATTTAGGGATGTAACGCTATTCAAAGGGATATATATATATATAACTCACGGCATTTTGATTTTGATTTTTCTTGTCATTTGTAGGATTTTTATTACTACAGGTTTCACCTTTTTATATTATAATTAACAGTTTCAGTTTCGTTTGATAAAACAATACTTTTGTATTGGAATTTAACCCTTTAATTATGGATTTCTCTTTTTTTTACACCGTTCCCTACAGCAATGAGGCCCACTTACTGAATCGTACTGAGTAATTTCATGTTTTTACCTCTCATTGTGAAGGACCGATCAAACTAGTGGATGCAATCACTCATTTTCTACGTAAAATTCATAAGGACTCTAGCAGTAATTAGTGGGATTAACTGCAATATTCCTACTGTTTTTGTCTCTTTTGTGTGTGTGTGTGTGTGTGTGTGTGACTCTTAGGGATTATCAGGGACCCTGTAAAGAACACAAGCAGTTTGGAGTATAAACAGTTTAGAATACGTTTTTAAAAGGACGTATATGGACCCCCTAGTTAAATCTATGGTGAACGAAATGACGAGGGATTCCGTTCAACATGATACACTTGTCTTTTTTGGTCTTTCTTTACAGGTATATTTAAGAGCAAAAGCTACTTCTCAGACAAAAAAAAAGTATAAACTTTACAAACATAGATAACTTTGAAACGAATTCTTTAGAACTGGACAGTTACAGTTTTGATGCATGTTGTTCAGGATATAGAAAGCCGGTGAGAGTGTTAAAGTAAATTTATAAAGCTATTAGTATCACTGTTGTTATCAGATTCATCAAACATTGATAAATATATAAGGCTAATAACATTAATGTTCTTATAACCCCAATACATCATACATGGGTAAATGTATAAGGCCACTAACATTACTGTTACAATGTTACAAAGGGGCTTGTAATTACATATCTTTTTCGATCAAGTTCAGATTTTTTTTATATATTCCTTTTGAAATGATAAATTGAAAACCAATCTTTTATTATAACACACTACATATATAGTATGAATATCGTGTATATTAGCAAACATTCTATGTGGCACATCATAAATAGC